GAGAAGAAACCCACGCCAGCAGCCCTGCATAATCACCTCTGTTGCACCTCTAGTGTCCCAGCATACATGACTTTTCTGTACTATTTATTTTTACGCGATCTTTGCCTTTTGACGAAGTAGACCCATTCCGTTACCCTTCGATTCAACCCAAGCGTATATGCCATATATGGTCTGTCCTTCGGGTAGTACGCCACCATGACATGCTACTTTGGTCTAGTGAATCACCCGTCACTGGTTCAGAATTTGACTGATAACATTGAAGCACCCCCCCCTCCGTATCAGCCAGTTATGTGTAGAAGCGAACGGGTGATGCCATATTCCACACCATGCATAGTTTGCTGTTTTACGACGAAAAAGTGCCGGTGGCTGTGGTAAACAGCCGATGAAGTGACAGATCACGTGCTCACGAAGTTTTTCGGCTGGGATTCTGACGGATAACGGGTGGTGGGTCAGTCAGGAACCCCCCCCCCTTTCGTTGGTGGTTCGGCTTTCTGTGGCCTACCGAAGCACCGCCCATGTCGTAATCGTCGCGGCACGAAGTAAGACATTGGTCGACGTGATCGATCAAGTTCTACTAGGCATCCAGAGGTTCTTCGACAGCAAACGGCAGAGTGCAGTTATTTTCGATCAGGATCGTAGTGACTGCGCTCAGCTGCGCCATCTCTAGTGACTGACGACGACAGATCGCATCATACACGCATCTCAGACGCTGAGAAACTCATCGGTCATCGCGGACCAGTCATCGGAACCGGAAACGAACACGTGGAAAAGATGACCACCATCGGAAACTGTGAGGTCAACGGCCTGCCGACTGTCGGCCGGGTTAATTTTGCAACGGTCGACCAGCAGTGCGATCGAGCGCCGTCGAGAGTGACCATCAACAGCGAGGACTCGTTCGGGTTGCTGCCCGGACAGACGTTGGAGCCGGCAAAAGATTCCAAGAAAAACTCTCTTTCGTTATTGTACGATGAGGGCGAGGAGATAAACGGCAAGACGTTGATGACGAGCGCCTACCTGAAGGCGTGGACCAGTGGCTACCAGACGACCAATGGAGGCAACGCCTCGACGACGACCGTCAAGGTGAGGTGACCGATGAGTCGTGGGCAGGCATCCGGTCGGCCATTCGCCGACCTCCTCCCATTGGCTGCCGTTTCCTCACCGAGTCGTTCGTTTTTCAGAAGGCCAAACTGGGCACCCTGTTCGGAGTCTACTTGCCCACCGTCCAGCACATTTTTGGTGTCATCATATTCCTACGTCTGTTCTGGATCGTCGGCACGTCAGGGGTGCTCGAGACGTTTTTCATGGTGCTGCTCTGCTGCCTGTGCGTAAGTTCGCTTGACCAGTGGTTTTCGCGTCGGCCACTGGTGTTGCATCGCGCCTACATCGTGTGCTTGTTTAAGACGTTCCTCACCAGCATCTCCATGTCGGCCATCGCCACTAATGGCATCGTCGAAAGTAAGTGTATTTGGGCGGTTGACGGTTGACGTTTATTCAGAACGCCGCAGATCCGCGTGGCAGAGTTCAGCATCGATCTCTAACGAGCTGAGTGAGGTTGAGCCTCGTGGAATCCCTCAGAGGTCGACCGCCCTGATGCTACGGTTCATTACGACGTCGCTATTGGCGATGCCGGCCACCTTTCCTTCGAACCGCCCTCGCCAAAGCAGTTCCTCTTCATTACCTTTTGCTAATTTCTATCGATCAAACAAATTTACACTCGGCGTCCGCGTAATTATCATAAGTCAATTTCTGTATGTCAGTGTTAATTTCATAATAACTGGACTCTTTCGCTTGGATACGTGTTTTTTGCGGAAGTCACGCATTAAGCGATGTTACTTACTTATCATCTGTCTGATGGCCGAAAGCATAAATTACTAACGGATATGCGTTCTGCACTATTCAATAATGAATCGATTTTCAGAACACTTCTTTGTACCTTGTAAATTACCCTGCGTACGAAATGCTACCAATATTACGGAATGGCATATGTTTAATCAGAGCCAAATGACACACGTAGTCATTTCCATCTATTATGTATCTTGTAATCACCAGCTTGAGCTATCAGCAGTTGTAGACTGTATTGTTTCTTTCAGCGATGCCTTTGAAATTTTCGTCGCATGTTATTCCTCGGATCATCCGTACGATACCACTTTTCCCGCTTCAGTTGCTAGCAAGCAGATGACACTGACTTTTCCACTTTTAATGGTTCAAATATGGTCGAACTGCTCTGTTTGGCCTCGCCTGGGTTTCTAGTTCGGTTACTTGATTCTCGAAAGAAACTGATAAATAAAATGTCCTCAAAATAGAAGACCTTCTGATATACACATTTTGCTCGTTGCCCAATCGAAGCACCTTCACACGTTGCAGAAACATCAGCTATCTTTTATTGGTAACTGGTAAAAAATATGTTATCACGTTTAAACTTTCGAACTTTCGTGCCATACAGGGGTTGTTGGTGATTTGTCATCGTCATCCATGACTTTCGGTGCTTAAACAACAGGGTAACCAAAAACTGTCTGATCCTCACATGCCGAATAAAGGGACTTCGTGTTGATTTGAGGTTCTAACGGAGTTCGAATACAGTGATTCATGTCACGGCGACAACTGCGAGGTATCAATTAGTTCAGACGAAGTAGAACTCTGAACTGCTGACCTTCAGTTCACATAAACCGTAAGGTTCAGGTCTGATTTCTGTAATGAGGAGGGCGCTCCCTCCATCGCTTCATGTTTCTTTTGGTATGTATGTCACAGGTCATGTTCTTTAACACGAAAAGAAAAAGAAAAACGTTTGCCGTCACTGGGATGATGTCCATCGCCCGGCACCCTTCCGTCATTTGTAACACGATTGTACGGAGCCTATGGTGCGACGCTGTTTTCCGGTTAGATCGTCCGCCAAAAGTGCCGTTCTTGAAAAAGCAGTATCTTTGGTCAGCGGCAGCGTGTCACGCTTCCTCATCATACAGTCTATCGAATTTAGGACTATGAAGGACCTCAAACTCTTCCACCTGCAAATCAGAAGCTCTAACGACTGAGTTGTCCAGATCTTTGGACACAAATACATGGAACCACTTAAAAGGGGTTCCTCAGAACACAGAACACAACCATTTGAAGCTGAGTGACACAAAACCATCAACTTCGAGATCAATAGTACATATCATGATTTCGAGTCTGCAGCAACAATAATTGAGGTTACACTAAGTGGTGATTATTTCTTTGAATAGTCAGCTGTCAAACAAGCGATTGAGAAATGCAGTTTTAAGCGGAGTTCGCGTTACACATACCAGGTAGACCATAGGAGAACATTATGCTCTCCATGTCGTTCACAAGTCAACTGCACGCTGCCTGCTTCATGGTTAATTTCATCGAACCGAAGTGACGTGAATTCTTTGCTCAAGGAAACTGGCAGTTAAGAGCTATAATTTTTTTCAGGATTCAGAAATTTAAGCCTAATTTTTGCTGCTGTGCCACTGTACCATTGCGCTCCAAAACTGAAACAGGCAAATGAGAAAAGGATGTAGGCTCTCTGAACGAGATCACATGATATACAATGTGCAAGCGATTATTCATTTCAGATGATTAAGTAAAAGTCCATCGGTTTTGTCTAAGTACAACAGCGAATTTTTTCAAGGTATAAGCTTTGATCTTTTCCTAGCTGTGCATATCTAAAATGATGATTTGATATCTGAATGCGCTCGCTGTGTAATTTTTCATGGAATGCTTATTGTTACTTTATTATTAACCTAATATGGGTTTATCAGTCTTCCTCTGTCGTATGCTGGCAACGGCTAGAGGTTTAACGGC